TGATCTTAATACCCAACCTGGCTGTCTAAGCTCTAGGTAGTTGCTTTCACCTTAAATTAGTGCCACTGAAAGTCTGCCCAGGAATTCTTAAATTCTCTTCCCACTTTGAAGGGATTGGGGAGAATACTTCCTGTGGTGCAGCAGTGCAGCTTACTGAGAAACCTCCACTAGATTGACTGAAATGACAATGGATTCTTCCGACTGTAGGAAAAAGAGCTGCCTGTGCATAGATTTCATATGTGCCTGTGACTCTCTCTAGTCACCCACTTGCTTGGATGTTCAGAAATTTTATTTTCAAGTCAGAATCAACCTCTTAAGACAAACTCAGTTGCCGGGGGTGGGGTGGGGTGGGGTGGGGTGGAGGAGAGACAGAGATCTCAGGATGCTTTGTGGCCACTGATAGGGAGGCTGTTACAGGAAGAAGGCTGTGGGACAGAGTGAGGAACAGGGTGGGTCACACCTGAAAGGAGGGGAACAGTAGGGGTATAGTTGCTGTGGAGGGGCAGGAGAATATTTCCTATTTTAATTATTCTTGCTAACTAGGTGTTAAGCTCAGTTATTTTCAATTGCTATCAGAAGCGTCTAAATTTGAGCACCCTAGGAAAACCTCCATTTGTCCTGTCCTAGTTACAGCTCTGCTACAAACACACCTTCTGCCTCCTACTGCTGAGCGGGCTACTGATGTTTCAGATGTAAGGCGATCAACCAGAAAGCGAGCGGGTTTTCTGTCCTGTTTTTCTCCTCCTAAATTGACTTATGGCTATGTAAAAGCCCAGTGCTGCAAGGCCGGTGGGAAGAAGGGTGAATGGCCAACCAGTATGGGAAGCAAAATTATGAAAGTGCCTGAGAAGACTGTGAAATGTAAATATAGGTGTGAAATATAGATACAGGTGTGAAATGCAGGGATAGGCATGAAATATAGATACAGATGTGAAATGTACACATAGGTGTGAAATGCAGATATAATTAAAAACCTCACTCTCCTTCATTGCTGGGGTTTGCCGTGGTCAGGGCCAACTCCAGACAAAATTGTGAAGCCAGAGCTGTTTCCTCCCGACCCTCCTAGACAGTGACGGTACCTTGGCAAAAATCAGCTATATGGAAAGGTTTTGATTGTCATTAGTATCTCACAGGTGAAGCATATAATGCAAATACCCCTGGGTGAAGTAACATCATAACAGTTACACTAACTGTGCTAGGAAAGATTAAAGGATTCTGACTCCAGTGGGGAAGGGGATTGGGCTTATCTGTCCCTCTCCTGAGTAGACCTGTTAGGTCACCTCCTAACTAAATAAACTCCTATCATGTCCAGGATCAAACACAAACTCCTCTGTTTGGCATTTAAAGCTCTGCACAATCTGGTCCCTTCTACCTTGCTAATCTTGCAGTTTGCTCCCCTCTACAAACGCTATAGTTCCTTTAAGGAATTCTTGTAGACACTTGATATTTTTTGCTTACACATTTTTCCTTTTCAAATAATGTTTCAATACAAGAGAAAACATCCAAAGTAAAACGATCAGTAAATTGTTGTTGTTCAGTCGTTTCAGTCATATCCGACTTTTCATTACCCCATTTGGGGTTTTCTTGGAGAAACTGAGGTGGTTTGCCATTTCCTTCTCCAGCTCATTTACAGATGAGGAAACTGAGGCAAACAGGGTTAAGTGACTTACCCAGGGTCACAAAGCTAATAAGGTCAGCATATTTCAACACTACAAGTGTCCATGAACTTAAAAACAAGTTTAAAAAAAAAGATGTAAGCAGCCAAAATTGATGCTACAAGACCCATAACATTTACTCTCAGGGGAGCGCTCAGGCCCTCACTCAAAGACCCCCTATCAGTTTGGATATGCTAACAAGTTTGTTACTAACAAGTTTGTTATCTGATCCACAGACTGGAAGTAGGCAGCAGAGTGGATAGAAGGGCAATCATCAATAAGAAGTGATGGAATACTGAAAAACTCTAACCATGAGACAAGAATATACCTTCCCCAACTCCAGCCCCATTGGGAGGCCATTTAGTGGAGTGGCAAAGCATTCCATGCACTTATCAATCCCTGAGGGCATACAAGCAGCACAGCTGATCACTAATTTTGTTTTCACTTCTGAACATGTTTTTATTCACTTGCATATATGTTGGATTTATTATCCGTTTACAAGGTGCATCTCACCAAAACAAGCTTTTTAGGACATCATGAAGCCATAGAAAAAGCACTGGATGTGGAGTCAAAGGACCTTGGCACCAGTGTCGTCCGTGGCCCCCAGTTTGCTTGTCTGGAATGAGTACCAGATGTCTTCTCAAATCCCTTCCAGCTCGAAGGTACCACCGTCCTCATCACTTTGGCATCATTCCCAACTCTTTACTCTCATCCCAAATAATCAGTCCCCAAATCTTGTCACTCCTACCTTCACCTCTCATCAAGCTCCCTTCTCTCCATCCATTCGGCCACAATCCTAGCGTCAGGCCTGAGCACTTGCTGCCAGGCTTATCGTAATAGCCTTCTAATTGGTCTATGTCTCTGATCTCTCCCCATTCAGCTGCCTTGCTCCCCTCTCAGTGAACTCTAGCCATTCTCTATTGCCTTTAGCATCAAATAGGAAACTCTTCTATATGGCATTTAAAGCTCTCACAACCTGGTCCCTTTCTACCTTTCAAATCTTACATATCATTCCCCTCCACACATTCTACAAACCAGCCACCACACTAGCCCACTAAAAGTACCTTCAAGCAGACGCTGCTTTTCCCATCCCCATGCCTTTGCACTGGTCATTCCCTATGCCTAGAATGTTCTGCCCCCTCACCTCCACCTTAATTTCCCCAACTTCCTTTCAGATGTAGCTCAGAGCCCTTCTGTGGGCCTTCCTCAATTCCCCCACCTTCTACAGCCTTCCCCACTGACATTACCTTCATATGTTCCTAATGTACATAACTGAGTTTCCCCCTACAGACTGTGGACTTCTGGAGGGCAGGAGTTGTTTTCACTTCATCTCCGACCTTAGCACAGTGCCTTGGCACATAGCAAGTGCTTAACGAATGTTTGTTAGACATTTTGGTTCCTGCCTTTGTAACCCCAAGGCTAGTACTTAAGCGAGTTGCATAAGGAGGTGATTAATATTTGTTGAATTTAAATTCAGTCATTAAGGAAAGACAATTGTGTTTGGTATGTTGCATTTAGGAGACAGAAAAAGTAAATAAAGCATTTTAGAATTTTCATCTAAAATATTAAAATTTAAAACAAATTTTGCCATCTGGTTTCTTTTTGTCTTCCCCATTCAACTGCAATCTCCTTGTGAACAGGAATTATTCTTTATGCTTATTTCTGCAGTTCCTAGTACAAGGTAGGTACTTGCTGGTACACGGGAGGTAAATGCTTGTTGACTCCCTGCAACAGTTGAATCAATAATATTATTTCTGAAAAGGAACAGGGGGGTCAATTGCCCTATGGCTCCACTCAGCATCCCTGGGACATCCCAGTCTCAAATACCCTTCTACTATGTGAATTGTCTTCCTTAACAGAGCACCTTCCATGAAGGCAGGGACTGACTTGCTTTTTGTATTTATATGCCAGTGGTTAGTAGTGACTGGCAAATATTAAGTACTTAGTGCTTTTTCATTCATTCATTCTCCATTTCCCACTGATATTGGAGTTACATTAAAAAATCATAAATTTAAACACAGGTACATTTTGTAACAAAAAGAAGCAACTAAGGTATCTTCCCTAGTTGACTTTATTCCTTTCTCTTACCTATAAGGGAAAGTCCCGGATAGTCTAGATTCCACTGCTCTGAACCAGACCAGACTTTTGGGTGTGGAGCCAATATGCAGGAGGTGAGTAGTCTTTGGACCACACCTGCCTCATTAGTTTTTCCACCTGTGGTCCCAAGGTTTCCTCCCTTGCTTTCCTGCCAGAATCTTTTCCTTCCAATTAGATGCCAAGGCCAAATACTCTAACAGGATGGATGGGGGGGGAGGGGTGTCAGGTGAAGCAAAGGGCTAATAATGCTCTGACAAAGCTGTTGGGTGCATTCAGCTGCTAAGAAAAGCCTAATACCCCTTCTGTCTTGCCAATAAAACATTATTTTAATATTGTAGAGTTTTGCCTGTAGGGCTCTACTGCTTAAGAGTGATAAATTACCCAGGGAAACTTGAAAGGAGAGAGAAAATTAGACAAGGGAGAAAAAATGCTTTCAAACCATCTTTTGTCTCTTCCTCTACTCCCACCGGCTCTGGCCCTTACTGACTCATTCTGGATTACTGCACTACTTTTCTAGCTGATTCTCTCTGGTTCCAGGTTCTCTCCAGTCTGTCACAAACACTTCCTCCAGATCTTCTTCTTCTACCCCTTCCCCCCCATCCATCCCTTAAGCTCTGAAAAATTTACAATGGTCTCCCATTTCCTACCATGTGGTGCAATGAATAGTGCTGGGTTCGCCCACCTCCACCTGACATTATATGACCACGGGCAAATCACTTAATCTGAGACTGTGTTCTCACCTATCAAATGGAGAAAATAATACATACAGTAGTAACTGGACAGGTTGTTGAGCCACTCAAAGGAGGGAATGTATGTAAAGCACTCTGTGAGCTTTAAAGTGCTAATATGAATACTGGTTCTTAAGTTAGTAAATAAGGAGTTATAGTAGCCTCTGTTATCGTCAGAACTTTTCAACCTAACTTTGCTGACCTTCCATGATTTGACCTCATTCTACCTAAACTTATTTCCTATTGCTCTGCTGTACTCACCCACTGCTCTGAATGTCTTGGCTTTCTCTTCTCCCTATCCAATCCTACCCACCCTTCAAGATTTAGCTCTAGGATATTCTCTAACTACCCAAAGGTCTCCATGACCTTCCCTAAATCACACCTTGGCCTGGCACCTAGTAGGCACCTATCTTATTGAAATGGATTGAAAAATGAATCGAGTCTTCAGAAAATTTTTTTAAAATATTCAGTAATATAATTCTTCAAGAAAAAATGCAAGAAATAAAGAAAACTCAAGCCATCACCACACACAAAAAATATTTTTACTAATGAAACCAAGTAACTAGTAGACATCACAGTTTTTCCTAATTTTCAAACAGTATAATGCACTTAAAGCATTGGTGTTACACAGCTGTGAACCCCAGAAAAGCCATATCCTCACCAATGAAATGGGGATGCCGAAATTTTAGGAGTCAGTAGACACTCTCATCACTAACTACTAAATTTAAGTCTTTAAATGACCCACCCTTTGAAGCAAATGGTTCTGTCTACTTGCCTTCCAATTAATGTGTGGCAAATTCTGACAAATATCCATGTTAGAAGACACAGGGAACTGGGAGTGAAGGAAAAAAATAATGCAACTACTCACCACTTTACTATGTAGGAGTGTGAATGTTGGCAACTTCCCTCCCCCCTCCTTCCCAAATGAAACCCTGAAAGTATATTAACTTTGCCAGGTTGAAAACTTGTTTTCCACATCAGCTCTTTGGGGTCAGTCATTCATTCAGCAAATATTTTTGTTAACCTGAAATAAACATAATTATTCTACTTCATCAGGTTAGCCCCTGATTTTTCAAACATAAATGGAAATGAACAAGCCTAAATACAAGGAAATCCAGTTAGACTGAACCTTCGGTGTTAGTCTGGAGGTCTCTATCATAACCAACATCCTTAGGGGAGTGTCTCTTCATCTTGGCAAGGATCTCATTTTGGGTACACCTAAAGTGATTCATTCCATTTGTCCCTTCTCAGTGGTCCACTGAGAGGACAGAAAGGTCATTCTAAAGATGGTTGGCCTTCTATCCAGATCCCAGCTATTACTGTTGAGGAAGCTGGGCACAGACAAAGTCATATGGGTGGTAGGAGATCACCAGCAAACCCTGCAATTTGTGGCCACTGATGGGCTGGTAGTCTATAGTGAACTGGATGAGATTGTACATGATGTGTTTTGTTTTGCCAAACAACTGCTCTTACATCATTCATGACAGCAAATTATTAGTCTGAATCCTGATGAGACTGTACTTTGGTACATTGTTAAAAAAAAAAAAAAGAAAAAGTCAATGACTTAGAAAAAATACTGCAATGGCAAGAAGAAAGAATGATAATTTCAAAGTTATGGGGCATCTTTCATCTCTGTGGATTTCTACAAATTAAATAAATTGATTTGTGAACTGAGGTCTATCTATTCAGCAATTACAGTTGTGGCTTATGATTCCTATTAACAGGGCTCAGGAACTCCTCAGTAACAGTACATGGCAGGAAATTAAATTTAAACTGAAATGTATGTTATTTTCTATTTACAAAAATAAAATTCACAACTAGGGAAGAAAGCACTTGTGTAGGTTGTTCCTGATAATGGTGGGGCTGATCATCAAGAAATTACATTGTTCTTCCAAACCCAGAACATTCTGCCTTGGCAAATGTTATCAAGGTTATGTGACTTTGTATTATCTGTGAGGAACTAGGATGGGTATCTAATGGATGGGAAACAGAAATTACCAAATGGAATTTTTAAGATATGTTAGCCAAATTAGTAGCAGATTAAAAAAAAATAACAGTGCCTCAGTTTTCAACTGGTAATATAAAGGCAATGATACTGTCAAAATAATCTACATCTGTATTATAGAAAAATTATAGAGAATTAGGTCTGTATGTGAATAAACACAGTCATGCTATATTAAAATAGCTCATGAAATGAGAGCACTCAAAAGTTCATCAAATAATTTTCATTGTAAGTCTACAAATGGATTATTGTTTCTGAAACATTTTAATTACAGGGTCACTATGATGGTTTAATTAATGTTTTCCTTTGAATACTCAAGTGAAATTCCATTCACCGCTTTCATCATTATAACAGGTTACGAAATTCATTACTGCTTGAGGTTCAAGTGTAGACTGCTTTAATAATGCCTATTTTCTGTACGTATTCCTGTTCCTGAATTACTGACAATCAGATGTTGGTACCAACTATGCAGATGCTCTGGTGCAGGCTCAGCTTAAGATATTGCCTTACACACCATAACGTTAATTTAACTGAAGAGGGCCTTGGGAACTAGGATCATTGCTACTACTACAAATAAAATTTGAGAATTGCATCAAAGGTGTGTGAATTCTCTACTAAAAACAGGAATGTCACTAGGGGTTATAGGGGGGATAGCTACAACTTAGTCCAAGTAAATCCTAAAAATACAGAGACTTAAGTGCACACAGGGGAAATTCTCAACTGTTTTATGAGGAGTTTCCAAAGAACTCTTCCCCTACCTACTAGTGCTCATTTTAAATTCTTGGGGGTGCCCTTCTCTCATGATAGCCATGAGAAAATACTGCTCAAATGAAAAGTGCCAACAGGAAATGGGAGGAGGAAGGGAATACACTCACCATATTAACATAGTTCCAAGCTTCTGAGCTAAATGGACATCATACTGCATTTTCCTTTGATGTAAATAGGGAGATTTTGTGTGTGCGGCTGCTATTAACACTCATGCGAAGGCAGCATTGGGATTCACACAAACTGCACAGCTCTGTCTCCGAACAGAATAACAAACTCACACCTACGGACAACACTAAGAAACATGCAAACACCAGAAAGAGCCTGAAGGGAACAATGGCAAATGAGTTTAAGGGCTTCATATTTTACACAACTGACAGTAACGCTGCAACAAAACACCAACGTGGCGGTTTCCTTCGCTCACGCTTTTCATGGTCCTTTGGACAAAGGGGCAAGGATGGATGCTGACTTCTTTAGGATCCAAAGTTGGTTCTGTCTCAGGCACTACGCAGCTGTGTTGCTTTTGATACAAAGGGATGTTTTCAGCTGTCTTTTTCTACCCTTTTTTCCCTTTGTGGAGGGCCAAGTTCAAATGCTGGAAAGCGGGATGTCTCTGGAACCAGGATATCTGACAGAAAGTGAATAGTGCCGCCCATACCTGTAACACACAAAATATTATTCTCTTTACAAGAAAAGGTGCTATGACACTTTCTAAAACACAATCTCAAAGCACATTCTTTAAAATTCATGAATCTCAAGCACTTAAAAATAAACATAAAACCAAAATTTAATAAGTATAGTCTATAAAATGGAGAGCACCACTCAGAATAAAGGTAAATGAAGGGAACAAAGAAAAGGAAATTTTTTGAAAGGGAGTGCTGGGAAAAAAAATTCTTAAAGTAAGAGGAAACATGTTTTAATTGGATAAAAGAGGAGGGTCAAATGATGTTGAGAAAGAGATTAAACACAAAAGAAATAAACAGAAGGAAAAAATGTGAATGAATTAAATAACCTAATAAAATTAATGAGAGTGGCAGAATGGATAAAAAAAATAAAGTTTAAAATTTAATTCTTCAAAGTGAATATTCATCTTTTTTTTCTTCAGAGCATGTTTTTCAAAGCAGAAATAATGTCTAGGCTCTAATGAGGGTGTAATTTAACATATAATTATACATGCCGTCTCCATCCGAAGAATGACAATGTCTTTAGCTTGAATCTTAAAGCTGTAAGATAAGGTTCTTCAGCTGGCCATGCTCTCCACACCCCTGCCTCCCCCTTGTTTCTATTTACTTTGTATACGTTTTATATTTACTTATCCTGTAGTTGTTTCCCTCATGAGAATGCAAGTTCTATTTCTGACTTTGTTTACCAGAGCTCAGCATATTACCTGGCACACTTAATAAAAACTTGCTGAATTGGATTGAATTGGGGACAAGTGATATTTCTACAACAAAGGAGGGCTCTCTAGTAACTACCAAATTCTGGGAAGAAAACAGAAATGAGAATAACGGTTAGCTGACATTTCTATAGTGCTTTTCCTATACAAAGAGCCTTACTTATCTCGTTTGGTCTTCACAACAATACCATGTGGCAGCTACTACAGGCACTGAGGTATCTTCATTTTAATACAGATGAGAAAACTTCAGCTCAGAGAGGGTTTACATGACTTGTTCCTGATCACAAAGTACCAGGAGTTGGTCTAATTTCCTGCCTCCAGAACCAAACTAAGACCAATGGCAGAACTCACAGCTCATTATGAAGAAGAACCTCCTAAGGAAGGAAGCTCTAAGAAGATGAAGTCGGTGCCCTCCTCAGACAGTGAGCTCCCCGTCACCGGAGTTACTGAGGCAAAGGCTGCAAGAATAGTCAGGGATGCTGTAGATGGGATTCATGAGTTGGGGCAGAGGGTCAGAAATGATTCTGAAGGTCTCTTCCAACTCTGCGATTGTTGTAGTGTTTTCAGGGAGCAAAATGCAAAATTTTCCCCAAATGCAAAAATTCAACCAGCTCTGGATTTCATTGTCTTATTCTAAGCAAACATGTTTCAGAACTGCACTTTCTATCCTTTTAAGGCTTGAAGAGGCCTGGAACATGTCAGATCCACTGAACTGAGATGATAAATAAACTTCTGCAAGAGAGTCAATCAGACAGGCCAGGTTACAGGCAGCCAGTTCCTCTGGGGCAAACAAACCATGTGTCCATGTAGCCCCATTAATTCTTCACCAGCTTTCCGCACAGCAAGAACTCATCCGCTCTTAGGTGACTGACTAGGATGGCACACATTCAGGTTTCCCAATCAAAAGGGGGAAAACTATACTAAATTTATCAGATAGAGGTAGAGTTATATTTAGAGGCAGCTAGGTGGCCAGATGCTAGGTCTGGAGTCAAGATACTTAACAGCCGTGTGACTTTGGGGCAAATCACTTAACTTGTTTGCCTCAGTTTCCTCAACTGTAAAATGGGGATAATAATAGCATTTACCTTACAGGATTGTTATGAGGATAAAATGAGACAATATTTGTAAAGCACTTAGCACAGTGCCTGGCACATAGTAGGAGCTATATAAATGCTATCTATTTTGCTGTTGTTATTATTGTTATTAGTAGCATACTATTTCCTCCTAATCATTTGAAGCTTTACTGGTAGTTCCACTTATTTTCTAGAAAGCTCTGGGCTTTGCCTAAATAGCTAATAAGAGAACATTTCCAAGAAGAAATGAGTCACTGTACACTTTAGGCACATTTGAGGACATTCATGATTAATAAATTCTTGTTCAGATGGAATGATTTCCTTACTAAATACTATGTTTGACAGGGACTTCAAATAATCATTTAAATTCACTCCCTTGGCCGAAGGAGGAGGCCACAAAATCATAGATTTAGACCTGGAAGGGACCTGATAGGTCATATATAGCCCAATTTCCTCATTTTATGGATAAGGCAAATGAAACCCATAGATGTTAAGTGACTCAGCCAAGGACATACGGGAAGAAGTGTCAGAATTTGGATGTGAAGCCAGATTCTTTAATTCCATATCCAATGCTCTGACATAGGATGCATACAAGTCCACTGTTTTAATTAAGATTTTCAAGCTCTCTCAAAATCTTATGTCAATTTCCCCTCACCTTCATATACATACAGAAAATAATCAAGTCATTCCTAAGACTCCACTTTATTCAAATTAAACAACTCCAGTTCTTCATAGAAGTGGGTTTTCTACCCACATGTTTATCTTTGCTACCCTCTTTTGACCTTCTCTAGTTTTTTTTTCATATTCTTTAAAAAAATTGGTGCCTGAAAAAATGGACTCATTACTCTAACTGAAGTCTCACAAAAAAAAGTTCAGTAACATGATGGTTGTCTTTTTTCCACAATAATATTTTATTGCTGATTCATATTCAACTCCAAGTTGCTCTGCAGGAAGCTAGGCAGGAGGCCTGTTAATGTCTTGCCGTTTTAGGTAGTTGTAAATTGGTTATTTAATGATTTGTTTCATCAGTCTTGTGATCTTTTCATTTCTCGTGACTGATGTCAAGCTGATTTAACAGTAATTACCAGGGCTGTCTTTTTCTTTTGCAGCACGAGCACAAGACCAATAAAATTCATATCCATTCACATACAGAAGTAGTATGCCACAGAGCTAATGTGAAATGTTCATCATAAAACCCTACTACTTTAATTTTCCCATATTTCCACCTCTTTTTAAGTATACTATGTCTAGTTTTTAAAAATAATTTTGTCCACGCTGCACTGGGGTTTCAGTTAGTTCAGACACCAATCTTATTGCCCAGGGCTCTGGTCACTATCCTCAATCAATTATCAATTGATCATTGAGCTATATGCTGGGCACTGTGCCACCTACTGAGGAGACAAACAGGAGGCGCAAAACACACCCTATTTTCAAGGCACTTTGATTCTAAAGGAGGAAACAAGGACATAAACAAATACATACAGATCAGCTGTAAAGAGAATGAATACAGGGTAGTTAACAACAAAGGTGGGGTAAGAAACTCTTCATGTACAACGTGGTGTCTGAGCACCCAAAGTGACAGGGCTGAACTGCCTGGTGTCTGAAGTCCCTTTCAGCTCTGAAGTCCGAAGGAAAGGAAGGACTTTGGGAGGTAGCAGTGAGACAGGGTATTGCTGTCCTGGAATGGAGGAGCAGGAGATGTAGGGACTGGAATGACGTCCAATGAAGTTATGAAGAGTGGCTGGGGCCAGGTGGTGTGAGGCCCAAGTCGTGATATATCTACCACTTTCAGAGAGAGAAACCAAGAGAAAGAAACACCGGAAAGTGGGGCAGCTAGGTGATGCAGTGGATAGAGCACTGGCCCTGGAGTCAGGAGGACCTAAGTTCAAATCGGCCTCAGACACATGATACTCACCAGCTATGTGACTCTGGGCAAGTCACTTAACCCCAACTGCCTCACCAAAACAACATACAAAAAAAAAAAACCCCAGAAAAGTGAAGGGTCTATTTCTTCAACTATGAAATGACACATGTCTGTATATACATTTCACAAAGTAATGGGAAATTCCAATTTGCTATAAGAAACAGCTAAGTTCCCATGCTCGGGCACAAATTGCAGTAATAAACTCATTTATGTCACTACTTTATTTCTTAGCATTCTTACTTATGCAAGAAAAATGTCCATCCTGCTCATCCTCAGAGAGAAGTAATGGATTTCACCTATTCACATTTTAAAGCATAAATGTTGCCTCCTTTTCTCTCGGCAATCCTTACCTTCAAAGAGTGAGTAGGGTCTGTCAGGAATACGACACCCATGTGCTCCATAATCTAAACACCACTCTGCAAACTGCAGGGAAAACAACAAGGAAAAGGAACATGTTTTATACTAGAAGAAATGGATTCAAAAATACTTGTTGAAAAGGCCATTAAGATGGCCTAATATCAAGTAACCTCAATGAAGAAGCAGGAAACAGAACATTGTACACAGTAACAGTAACATTGTGTGATGATCAACTTTGATAGACTTAGCTCTTCTCAGTAATGCAATGATCTAAGACAATTACAAAAGACTCAGGATGGAAAATGCTATCCATATCCAGAGAAAGAACTACTGAGTCCGAATGAAGATCAAAGCATACTATTTTCTCCCTTTTTGTTTTGTTTTTTCTGTCTTGTGGTTTTCCCCTTTTGTTCTGATTTTTCTTTCACAACATGACTAATGTGGAAATATGTTTAATAAGATTGTACTAGCCTATATCAGATTGCTTGCTGTCTTGGGAAGGGGGGAGGGGAGGCAGAAAAAAAATTTGGAACTCAAAATCTTATAAAAGTGAATGTTGAAAACTATCTTTACATGTAATTGGAAAAAAATATTAAGTGGAAAAAAAATGAAGGAGGGTAGGAATTTTGAATTTGCTGTACAAAAGGAATGGAGTAGTTATGCTGAAGTACGGGTAACCAAGCTTTATGGCCATTTTCAAAGATAGAAGAGATACCAACCAGGAACAGCGTATTTGTGTAGGCAGACCCAATGAACCCACAGTTCTCTAAGTAGCACACAGTTAGTGGCTAGAATGTGCAGTGCGACATACTTGATTTGGTCCAAGGTCCAGAGCCACTCAGGGCTCAAACTTATATAGTTTTTAACAAAGAGCTCACTTACCTCCCACTTCACCGGTAGAGTGAAGCTATGTGGTAGTGTGGTCCTCTAGGAAGGAAACGAGGGGTAGGGAGACAGGAAACTGAGCTCTTACTGCGCTATAGCAAGCAATCAGCTGGGGAGGGGGGGAAGCTCTTAATCTCCAGATCTGTTAAACCTTAGCATATGTACATCCTGAGACCAAATCAAGTTACAGAGTTAAAAATAACTGTAAAAAGATGTAATTTAGGCTTTAATGCCCTCAAAACAAGAGGTTTTTTTTTTTTGCAGTGATTCTTAAAGTGTTTTTGTCTTATCCTTCTTAGAAATCATACATTTTAAAATGTGATATAATTTACATTTTCTTACTGAGATTGGTGATTGTTAATAAACCGTAGTCTTCATAACTGTATGAATGTGTAGATTTAAAAAAAAAAGAAACAGTAACTGTATAGAAAATAAAAAGATCAGAAGGACCAAAAAAAGAAGCAGGGAAACAATTTTTTAAAAAAGTACCATATTAAATCCTCTGGATAGCTCCACTGAAATATGAACATATTTTTAGTATCTGAACAGTGTGAATTCAAACAAATTCCATTTTCTGAGTTATGATTAGAGGAATCAAATTTACTTTTTAATTTCATTTGTACATTACAATATAGAAAAAAAAATGTCATTAAGTATCCCTTTCTAGGGCAGACTGGAAACTGTTATACTATAGTTATATTATAGGTGGCTACATTCTTGAGGTCAATAATTTTGTCCATTAATTGTGTTTCATTTCTCTTTGGGCTGTTTCATGGTTTCTTGCAGGTTGAAAGATCAATTAAAATTGTTTTCTCTAACTATTCTGTTCATTCTTCCTCACCCTTTTCACATATACTGACAACAGAGTCAACTCTTGAGAAGCTGGGAACAGCAAGTGAAGAAGCACTTTATGGAATTACACATTCTTGCCTTATCATTGCCAGCAGGGGGAGTTCAGAGGAAGAAAAAGGAGTTGATGGGAGCAGAGGTTTCGACTACTGACGATAGAGGTTTTGAAAGATTTTTTTTATGAACTTAGTTTATGAACTTATCTTAGTGTTGTAAAATTCCAGAAACAGCTGCCTTAGAACTGCAGGGACTACAAGGACAGGGGGTTGCTGTGTAAAACATCACAATTGTCTGGGAATTAGGGTTAGCAGAGGGGCGGAAAGCAGGGAGGCAGTCCTGGAAGTGATGGTGCAGGGCAGAGGTCAGTAATGGGAATGGTGCCCTGGCCGCAGGGAGCACTCACACCCACAGAATTGAATCGGTAGGAGACGGCCTTCTTGACAAAAGCCAATCAAAAGTTCAAAAATGTCAAAAGAAGAAACTTTTAGAGACTTTGAGAGAAGTTTCAACTTTTTAAAGTAACCGATGCAGTAAGAACACAAAGAGCCTCTGACTTACTCGGCTGTGTTCCAAAAGTTTCTACATTGTTTGGAATTCAGAAGGCATTTTCCCATTGAAGTAACGTTTATAAATTATGGTTTTATTCCCAGGTCGACACATAAAAGTCTATTTAACCCATAGGGTAAGAGTCACCTTGTATTAAAGTACCATAAAACCAAATTATCATTTATGACAATGTTTTCATAAGAGAATTGTGCAGTGCTGCAACTGGGGAGAGCAGGAAACTATTTGCCTCTGATCTGGTCCTGAAAACGGGGCTTGCCCTTGAAAGAACACCAGCTCTGGAGTCAGAGACTTGGGTTCAAGTCACATCTTTGATGCTTACTATTTGTAACCATGGGCAAATAGCTTATCCTCCCTGGGCCATGGCTCCCTCATCTGGTTACCCTACATGGCCTCTGAAGTCCCTAGCTCTAATGTTCAAGCCTATGCTATGAATCTTCTAGGCAAGGTAAGTGATCCACCCCCAGTTTCAAGTCACCAGCAGCAGCTTCTGTGGCTTGAAATATAAAACTGGTAGAATAGAGTCAGAAAGGAGGTAGGAAAGGGGAATTAGAATTGGAGTGAGTACTGAGGAAATGAAATGAAATAGGGAATACTGGGTTCCTACCATGTCATTTATTTCCTTGATTTTTTTTACTACTAGTTTGCATGCTGAAATATTTTAAACAGTTACACAACTTGTTTTTACATAATACTATTTTAATGGAAATATCAGTTTTAGGAAACTAAATGATACAACCAGAGAAATGAGCAAGATATACAATTCTCTTTGCTTGTTAATTATGGTGAACCTGAATTCAGGTTCACCATAATTAACAAGCAAAGAGAATGAGCAGATTGTCAGATTTTAATCTTCCATCATTATTTAAATATAACAGAATATTTTTAATAAAATATTACAGTAAATTAATAATTTCTAGTGGTTCCCCCCCCCAAGAAAGTCAATTTTTAGCAAATGTCCTCTGTAAAAACAAATTTTTACTATGTAAGATCACAAATGGGTATGGGCAAGTCCCCAATAAAAAGGAAAGCACCATTTACTTACATAATAAGCATTTAAATATTTTTTAAAATGTTAAGAACTAAAAAGTTAAGTAATTTCTGCCACAATGAAGTTAATGATAAAAGGAGATAGTTTTCTTTTTAGACCAGCCCTTCAAGTCTAACTTAGTAAGTGTTCTGAGACATCTGCCTACCAGGACCGCAAAGAGTTTTTTCTGCCTTCTTGAAGGTGTATCTCAAGTTGTAGTGAAAGCCTATGCAATGCTATTAAAGAGCTTTGCCTTCTTCGTACTCTTAGATACAGCATTTATTTTCTTAATAAAGAACCTGAGAAGCAAAATATGAAACACATCTGGAGTCCCATGGCAGCAGAGCTGAGGAAGAAAACTCAGGGGTGCTGGCTCTCAGCAGCAGCCCAACTGGTCTTCCTTTCATTTTTAAAAAACAGCATTAAGAGTGGGTCCCAGAGACAAAGCTCTCATAAAGAGAGATTTCGTGTCCCCATGTGCTCTTGCTTGGCTGAGGGCCACGTCACCGGCTTATCTTGCACTGTGGCAGTGCTTGGGTTGATGTTGTCTAATGGAGCCAGGGCCCTTTTGAATTTACAGTCTCACAGAAATCACTTTTGACAGAAAAGGAAAAGGAATATTTTGTTGGCAGGTCTTTTCAATAATTACGCATAGCATGTCCAATATGTATAACACCTCATGCCAGGCACTGAGAGAGACACAGTGCTTTGCTAAGTACCTCACTACAGTATAGGACAGGGAAAGAGAAGCAATCTCAAATGGAGTGCAAGGAGAACTGAGGAGGGAGGGGGGATGATCTCTTCTGACTGGGGGGTGAACACAGAAGGGTCTGCAGTGATGGTAACAAGTGACCTGAAGTCTGAAAGGCTGAGAGTATTTTGGAAGGAAGGAAGGAAGGAAGGAAGGAACAAAGAAAGACAGAGAGAAAGGCATTGTAGGCCAAGAGGACCAAGATGGACAATCTGAAACTCATCCCTACAATGGCAAAGAGCTTTGGAAAATCAGTGAAGTGTAGGCGAGTAGTGGCCGATCATGGTGAAAAGGCAGGGCAAAACTAAATTGTAGAGGGTCTTGAATGACACGCTGAGATTTTTTTTAAAAAATATAATTGGGTAACCACTCCAGGCCTCTGAACAAGGGAATGAAATGATCAAAACTGTGCTATTGGAAGAGTAATCTGGTGCCTGTGAAGCACAGAACGGTATATGAGGAAATGAGGGAGCCTGGAGGCAGGGATAATGTTAGGGGGCTAATGACTACCATCATCAGTGGGTAGAAAAGTGGGCACAGTGGATAGAATGCTGAGGCTGCAGTCGGGAAGACTCTTCTCCCTGGGTTCGATGTGGCCTCAGATACTTACTAGCTTAGTTACCAGTAAGACGGAAATGGCAAACCACTCCAGTATCTTTGCCAAGAAAACCCCAAGTAGGGTCACAAAGAATTGGACATGACTGAAGATGACTGAACAACAACAGCACTAGTCATTCATTCAATAAACTAAGGCTCTAAAGATCAGCCAGAAAGGAATCAGTCCCTGCCCTGAAGGACCTTCCACACTTTAGGACGAGGCAATGGAGGCAGCAGGAGGAGATGGAGGGGAGAGAAACAGCAGTGGAACAAGTGATCCCACTTGGTGACTAACTGGTGGTGGGAGCGGTCTGCCCTGGGCGCCTGGGAGAATGATTAACAGCTGCAAGGGAAGGCAGGAGAAAACGGGAGGGAGGTGGGGGGGTGAAGGACGTGAGAAAAGGACAAGGAGCTCGAGGGGCTCTCTCGAAATCTGAGGTGCAAAGATGACGCCCGGGTGAGGCGGCCTTACCTTACAGGCTCTGTAGAGGTACTTTTTATCCTGAGTGAGATGGTAGAGGGACAAGAAGGAGTAACCATTTCCTGCCGTCCCATGGCAGATTCCATATCCTTTCCGCAGTAAGCCTCTCTGCCAGATGACATCACTGCATTCCATAGCATCCTTCAAATATTTGTCCTCCTTAAAGATCTGGAGAATTAAAAAGAGCAACAGATTTTTAAAGAAATTTCTTTTATTCTGATTTAGAAAATGCTTCTCTTGACTAGCTAAAAAAAAAATGTAGGAGTTATGCTGTGAACATGATGCATTTGAAATGGCATTCAGCAACATCAGGAACTTGTCTACAATCTCCTACCTCAGCATCTCCCTCCTCCCCCAACTCCTGCCATTTAAGAGATTTTCTCAAAGTCATTCTCAGGCCTTGTTTTGGCTATAAAAGTAAAAGAAAAAAAATCTGTCAGAACCTTCTAACTGAAAAGATGCCAGTGTCAGAGCCTAACTACTCGACACAGTTTGGAATGGGACCAAAGATGCTTCTGTGCAATCCATTATAACATCCCATTTTATGTAACAGGGCTACTTTGATGTCCAGGCTGACAGTTCATATTAATATTACCTTGCTGATGTAAGTACAATGGTACCTACACAGTGAATCCTCTGGGGAGAAATCCGTCATAATGAAAGTTGGTTGTGTTTATTAAAAAACACCACCCACTCCTGAACCTCATAAATCATGTGTTGCCATGGATGGCACGGCTCGACAACCACAGCTCTTGCTAAGCATGCACAGATGCAGCAGAGAAGGACAAAAATACACGTGTCGCACAGATTCTTTGTGTTTGTTCATACACGACAAAAGTAGCCAAGGTTGGCCCGAGGCAACACTGTGACTCAGGAACTGACCGCAGGGGTGGGCGTTCCAGCTCCTGGAGCTCTTTTCTCCCCTCCGAGCCCTCCAATGCCACATTCTCCGGCCCTCTAATCTCAGCACATTCTTGCCTTTTTGCTGCATCATTTACAACTGTTGACTAATTGATTCCATTTTATCCAATTTAGTATCAGCCCACATATTGCTGTGAATCATAGAAATTTAGAGCTCCAGGGGACCTCTCAGACCTTTTAATCTAATGCCTTCATTTTACAGATGAGAAAACTAAAGCCCAGAATGGTTTTCCCTGGGTCACACAGCTAGACAGTAGCAGAAGTGGGATGAGAACTCCAGGATCCTGACCCCTCATTTTGTGTCCTGTCCATTACACTACACAGTCACTATTAAACGCTTGCATTTTGTCTTTTACTTCCTACTCTGAAATCAAAGTCTGCATCCCTTGCCTCAGTGACCTGGGGGGGAGAATTTTTTTGGATGAACACATCCTAAAATCCCAAGGAAGCCTGGCCCTGGAAGTAGACTTGGATTCTCAGCATAAAGTTTTCTGTGTCAAACAGAGGTGGGGGTCAGCGAGGGCAGACTCCCTCAGCTTCAGAGGCAGGAGTCAAAGGCCCGGTCTAACTGTAGCTGATAAAAGCTGATTCCTGGGAGAAGGAGGTGGAGGGGGTGGGGAGGGCAGCAGAGAAGAAATCTGCTGCTGCCATCAGTCTGCTGCAGGAAATGGGGTTTGCCCTGTCTTAGCACAGGTTCTGGACAACATCAGACAAAAACTTCCTTCTTCCTTAAAAAGAAAAGGGCATATTCTGGTTATGACAAATTCTACCAAGTGAAAAACCTCATGACAAAGAGATGCTTACAAGTCCCAGCCAACTGAACAGTCAGTCTAATGAATTTGTTGTCCTTTTGCTATACATTCTGAACGTATAATTATTATGGCTGAATAAAATGCTAAAGACCCTTAATGACCTTTGACATGTTTTTCAAAATATGTTGGCATTTTTTAGGAGGGAGAAAGACATTTAATTTACTCTGGGATTAATCGAACTTGTTTATAAATGTAATAGAAACTGAGTTAGAAGGAAGAGAAAAGAACCGTCTTGTCTTAGGCGAGGTTAGGTAAGAAACTGAAATGAAGAACTGCTGGTAGGGTCTCAGAAAAATATTAAGGACTTGTAATCAGGGAGGCTTTAGGACAGAAATTTGTATCTACCAATTTGTATCTCAAGAGAAACAGGCTAAGTACTCTAAAGGCAGTAGCAGCAACACTAATAAGTCAACATTCGTTTGAAATTAGTATTTAACATAAATAATAGGCAATTATGCCAAATGGCTGATAAAAATCTCCTCCCTAGTCCCCAGACTCCTGATTAACACAAGATGCACTGTGCCACTGAGCACGGAAGAATCTTCTGTTCCTCTAAATGGGAAGCTGTTAACCTGCAGTATTTCTCTTTAGGCATAACTAAAGGGAAAGGTGAGAAATAATTTCAAGTATTTCAACAAAAAAGGCAAAAATCAGATTGAGAAATGAGTATATCTCACAACTATAAATACCACTTCCCCCAAAGACTAGGTGAGTTAGCAAAATTTTCAGCTTATTCACAAGAGCCTCAGGATTGGAATATCTAACATGCTGCCAACCCGGGGTGACATTCGAGGACAAGGCTGTGAAGTCTCCCTAAATACTGCCAGCAACTGACTCCAGCCAATGTGAGCTCTCCTTTAGTTTCCCCAGCAACAATAAAAAACATTCACTTGCTCACTCAAAATAAAGCTTTGAAAAATCATCTCCTGAGCAGAGACACTTCCAATAACTGGGCTTATTTAAGGGCTTTAGAATTAGAGGGAACGAGCACATTTCAGCATTCATTTATCCTTTCTATTCTGGCCCAGAAAAATGGGACAGAACCATGTCTAATTTGTAGACAAGTAAGAGAAGGGGGCTGACTTATGAACACCCCACTTACGTGAATGTCTGCCTTGGTTAGAGACTCACCTCCCTACCACTGCTGGGGGAACCTGAGGTCGCCATCTGTGCCCTGATGCTTCTAGGAATACCTAAACCCTTTGCTGCTCCCCCTTTCCCACAATTCCCCCACCCAGTGATCCCCTTACAACCCTAACTCCTGCTCCTGCAGCCTAATAAAGCAAGGGTGCAGCTGAGTGCTTATTCTTACATCAAACAAAAGGTGAATCTACTGGTTTGAAAACAAAAGTAACCAAGCGTTCTGCTTATTTCTACGATCCCTTTTGAACTTCTTGTTTGTATCTGGCTTGGACTTGGGACTGCATTTGCTATTTTAATTGCACAGCTTATTGGTGTTTATAGTGTTCTTGTATAAGTACTCACATTTTTGTTTCAGACAGATTATACTATTTCTCAGCTTAATATATGCCTTCCTTTTTATAAAAGGTATTTGTATCCAAGGGGGATCCTCCTCTCCAGTGTCCAAGTGCATTAGGCAATTGATCTAAGTCATCCAGAGCAATCGCTGGGTCAGGAGTGATGGTACCAACTGCTCTGGTGACAAATGATTCGTTGGGCAGCATGATAGCCTGACTCCTTGTTACCTGCCTACTTTCTCCAGTCCACTGGGAGACTGAGATCAGTGACAGAACAAGGTAGGAAGGATTGCCAGTGCCAAGGATTACTTTTAAGCAGGGCAGAGCACTCTGTTGATACACGCCACCCTTCAAAAGTGAATGTGAAATGAGGTTGTGGGCACACAGAAATCCATTTAGCAGCCAAGCTGCCTAGACTCTATGTCTATGCTGTATATTGAAGGATATCTATACAGATAATATCAGGCTGAAATATGTCTTTGGATGAATGCATCATGGTAGAAACACAGCTGCAGTTAAGCACAGGGTGGTATCCTTAGCTGAGGCAGCAGGACTAGGCAAAAGAATGAGTAAGATATTTTCACACGTTAATACTGAGAAGGGATGGGCTGGGTTAGTATTTAAATAGAGGAATTTTGAGGGAAAAAGAAACCTGGGTAACATGGATTCCCCAAATCCTCCCTTAGCCATTTCTTCCTTATACTAAAAGCCAATGGCCACCACTTTGTTGAATACTCCCTCTGAGTTATGCAAGGCCCACGTCAAACCTTTTTCTTTTGTTTTATGAGGATTCTCTATTTAATGTCCTTCAGTAAATGCCCTTTTCTGCTGAATATTCATGAAGAGTTAAGAAAGGAAAAGGAGACGGATTCTGGTCTTCTTTGATGGCAGATGTTTTACTTTCTTTTATGTTCATTCTCTTAACTACTGGCTAAAAGAAAGGGAGGCAGGCAGTGGCATGCAGTGGGAGGGCCAGCATCAGGAAATTCTAAGTGGGTTCAAGGCCTGTCTCTAAAACAAAATAGCAAGCCCTGTCACCTCCCAATGCCTCAGACCATTCTAAGACTGTCTAGGTTGTGAAGGAGGTCCAGGCCTGCATCAGTAGAGGGCACTTCCTCACAAGGAATTCCTAATGGCAATGCAATCGTGAGTCCCTGAAAAAACAAAAGATCTGAGAACATCAAGCTTCAGTTCTTTGCCAAGTTGATCAAATTTTTAGCATTTATCATTTCAGGCGAAAATGTGAATGATTACTCTTGTTAGGTATGACTTCTTTTTCACTCCTGTATCACAAAATCTTGCCACATAATCATAACCAATCCTCATGGAAACAAATGAATTGCATGGTTGTTGAGTGAAGTGATTCAGAATACTACCATCTCTAGTGAGAAGACTGTCCCAAATAAGGATACAAACCATGGAAAAGAAGGCTGGACAAGAGCCACTGTTCACTTTAACTTACAGGCGGCAATTTGTTCAAGCTGTTCATCAGGAATTCTTTTTAATACAGTATTGAAAAAGCCCTAGACCTTAACGTTACCTGCACTTATTTCCCTTAGTTCTCAGGCAGACACCAAAGCAACTTTAAATAAATGTACAAAGTTCCTGAATGGCAATATCATATTAAAATCTTGTCAAAAGTAAGAAAGGGGTAAAAAGAAAGTCTGTGAGCATGGATGATTAGAAGTAAGTCAAATACTGGCAGCTGGTGAAATATTCTAGCCCCTCATTTTGTTGTAAGCATCTCAGCAGAATGAAAACTGTGCTGTCATTAGGTTTTCCACCATTTATTAAAATGCTGCCAGTTAGTGAGACACAACAATAACCCAACTAAAAAAATAATTCCTACTTTCTTTGGAAAAATGTTAATTTGGAAAAGTCTATGTACTGCCCAAAGTCAAAACGAAAATCTACTTCTGTGAAGAAAAGGTGGTCATCTTTACACTAGATGTTCATTAAGAAAAGCGAAGACTGACCTTATAGGCTTGTAGAAGCACATGTATAACCCCTGGGGCACCATGGCACCAATGGACTAATCTATCCGTTTCATTACTTAATGAGGATGGATAATTTCCAGATCGGAATTTTTTATGTCGCACATAATCAACACTTGGCTTCACCAACTCCGTCAAGGTTTCCTGGTCCACATTAGATGCTGGCTTTAAAACAAAACAAGGCACACATTTATAATATATTCTTTTAGCATTTAAAAAAAGATAACTATGTCACAGTAAACAGAATAAAACTTCAACTGATTAGAATATTTGGCAAATAAAGAGTTTCTGGTTATTTTAGTTATCTGGTTATCTAAGACTTAATCAGGAAATCCTTTCTATTGAAACTCCTTTTGTTGGAAAAATCACTTTCCTTAAGAAATAATGAATAGGAATACAGAGACACATTGGAAGGCTTATATAAACATACAAAATGAATTAAGCAGAACAAAGGAAACAACACAATCACTCCAGCAATGTAAATGGAAAGACAACAACAAAACAGCTGAAACTAAATGCTCTGAAATTTTATAATGAGCAGGCTTGGACTCAAAGAATAGTTGAGAAGATACTTCCATTTGTTTTTGCACAGGTAGAGGACTATGGGTATGGGAAACTGCAGATGATGTCAGACTTTTTTGTTGGTTCGTTAGTTTTACTGAACTGGGCTCTGCCCCCCTCTTCCCTTTTTCAATTCTTTGTTATAAAGGTTGGCTCACAGAGAAGAAGAGTGAGGGGGCACTCTGGGAGAAATAGGTGCTGGAGATAAAAGTAAATACATCAGTACCGGAGTGTCCTCCACATCTCTCATCTCACCCTACATGTTGCTTGCCTGTTTTCCTCCTAAATGCCACATGAAGTAGCTATCCAAGGAGCTAGTCTCCTTCTTGTTTATCTTTTAGTATCCCAGACAACCCAAGTGTAACCCTGGAAACCCCCACTACTGTATCTCATTTTTGATGAGTGACTGTACCACTTTCCTTTCCAAGTATACATGTTCTCAATATTGTCTTTATCAATCAATCACCAGGGATGTATTAAGTAACTACTCTGAGCCCAGTACTGTGCTAGGCACTGGGGATACAAAGACAGTTTCTGTCCTTAGCAAGTTGACATTCTAATGGAGGAGATAACACACACATACAGAAGTACATACAAAACATAAACAAAACAAAGACAAGGTGATCTTGGGGGTGGTGGAAAGGAGAGCTCCAGCAACTAAGCAGAATTGAGAAAGGCCTCATACTGAAGGAAACTAGGAATTGAAAAGACAGAGGTAAGAAGAGAGTACATACCAGGCACAGGGGATGATGTATGGAGTGTTGTGTGTAAGGAGCAGTTAAGAGGACCAGCATGGCTGGACTGCTCAGTGCATGGAAAAGCAGGACTAGGCCAGATTATGTAGGACTTTAAATGCTAACTAGTGGAGTTTCCATTTGATCTTTAAGGGTATAGAGAAACAGCAGAATTTACTTGGGGGGGGGGCAGTAAGGGAGGGTGAGTTGAGATCTGCATTTTAGAAAAATCAATTTGGCAGCTATATGAAGGATGGATTGGAGTGGGGAGAGACTTGAATCAGGGAGGCCAATTAGCAGATTATTATCATAGTCTAGGCAAGAGGGGATGAGGGCCTGAACTATCATTGTAGCTGTGTGAGTGGAGAGAAGGGGGCGTATGCAAAAACTGTCAAGGAGGTAAAAATAAAAAGACTTGGCAACTGACGGTGTAATGTATGAGAATTAAGTGACACTGAGGTTGCAAATCGGGGTGACTTTGATGCCACTATCTTGCAGTCAGCTTACACTCTTCTATCCATCATTCTATCATCTGCTGCATGTGTACCTGCAGACGACCTGGCAATGAGCACTTATAATTAAGTGTAACAGGTCTCCCTACACCTCTTACTCTGCCTATGCTCAGTCTCTCTCTTGGTACGTGTGCCTATGACTGTCGATTGCCTTCTTTTTTCTCTCCCATCTTTTCCCTTTTCTTTTTCCTTCTCTCTACCCTTTAATAGCCACAAAGTAGACATATTTATTTTTTAAAGTGTTTTATATATTGAATAGTTTCAAAGAAAGTAAATATAATATTTAATATTTTTAAAAACTTCATAATGTATATTTCTCTTTTAAAACTAAGTTAACAACTAAATCATGATGCTTTTTATTTCTATGGGATATAACTCCTTGACAGAAAAAGATTCCCTATGTCTCATGGAGAACTGTAATTGCCCAGGGAATATAGAAATGACATAACTATTCTAACTACAAATGGTATTTTATTTTTTAAAAGACACATGACTTTAGTTATTCTGAAGATTTGTATATACTGCAAAAGATTTGGCAGGCTGGTCCATTTCCATGTTTATCTATCTTGTATAATTATAGCAGGTAAATAAATTATAGAGAAATGGACTCAGACCTGTGCTGGCATTAATTTCTTATCCTCAAAATTCTGCTGTGCAAGAATTATTTATATTGGTACTTAAAAACAATTGGGCAAAATTTAGTGTTTTACACTGCTACTTGGGGCATTATCTGTACCTCATTAATCATAGAAGCCACCACAAATACTGCAGCCTGGTAAGCCCTATTAGTTCTTGAATTAATAGGTACTTTTAAAGAGTGAATATCACAAAAAAAAGGTCAATCATTTTCTAACAAAAGTCAGCATCGAAGCAGATGGTCTGTTCGTTGACACATTTCCTGCAGTAAAAGAAATCTTTGCTTAAAGGTCAATTTGGTACCTTCACATGATGCTTCACTGAAATTGCAGAACAATAACCACTGAGAATTTCTCATCCCAAAATGGAAACCTAAAAATCAAGACCCAGCTGAACCCTGCCCCCCCCCAAAAAAAGATTTTTCTTTGGCAGAACTAGGAAGGAGAAGCAACAGATATGGCACTAAGGTAAGAGAGTGAGCGTCAAGAAAGTACTGCCCTAGAAAGCATGTCCTTGAGACCCTACAACTTGGAGGATGCACTTGGGGACTTGTGTTTAATTAATTTTGGATTATTTAAGGATGAGTTTTGGTGTGATCTACCACTAGTGGTATCTAAACCAGCTGAGGGTATTCTGCTGTGGCAGGGTCAAGATGAGGATTATGGATGGAGAGCACGGGAAGGGCTACTGAAAACAGGAGCTGATGCTGTCACTGAACATCTGCTGACAGATGGCATTCCTTCTGCCTAAAGTCTCTGTGACTCATTGTAGAGTGGAGGCCATACAAGGGCTGTATCACTTATGTGTGTGTTTCCAGGGCATGATCGTAGAAACATGGCTCTGAGGATTTAGAGGCAAGAAGCACAGGTATTTGGACAATGACACTTTCACGAGGATCTTAAGCAGCTGAATGTCTGCTGCCCGTCCGAAGCTTTCTACTAAGGCTTCACCCTTCCCACAAAGGTGAATCTGCTTCAGCAGTCTCGGCCTCTAATGACCTTCATCAGTGCTTGGGTAGACTTCATTTTAGTATTTCCTGGCTAACAAATGAACAAAGGACAAGTCTGAGTCTAAAGTCCTTGTTCCTATGTCTGAGAGAAGCAGCAAATCTTTGTTTCTAAACTCAGAATGGGGGAACAAGCTGTATGAATCACTTCAGGAGGCAGTGGGTCCCCCCTCCTTGGAAGTCTGCAAACAGAGGGCAGATGACCATGTATTGGTCATATTGTAGTACACATGGGTCAGATGAGGTAGCTGCTGAAGGTGCTCCCAGCTCTGAAATTATGGAACCTGATACAGCCAATGCAGCTGGAGAGGAACAGGAAGTCAAGAGGTCATTGATGCTCAGAAGGACCTACTGCCTTCTCCTCTCGGGTTGTTTCTAAGGGAGCTATTGCAACAGGTGTGGGGGGTGGGAGGACGTTTTGTGAGCAGAGACGCATTCCTGGCATGCAAAACTGGAGTTAAAAATGCATCTTCCCATTAAAAATAACAATAACAAACATGAAAGTCACTCAGAAACTTGTAGCTGAGATAGTACTTTGAGTTTAGTTAGAAGTATAAGCATCATTTGTGAGCAGGTAAAATCCAAACCCATTTATTAGTCAGGGACTTATATACAATATAGTCTCTTAATAAGAAGTAAATCACCAGCCTTTGCAGAGGCCAATTCTGTTACGGGACAGTCTCTGCAGGGGAGACTAGACACTAAGCAAATGAGTGGATGGCAGAATTTCACTCATGGCAGCTTATCTGCAAACACCTAGACCATCAGGCAGCTTGGTACAAATAGTATATATATTTTCAGAGCATCTAGCTTGTGATCTGGGGAGAATTAATTCATCTGTGACTCAAAGCAAAGCAATGAAATCACATTCTCTAAAAAATACCAGTTTTACATGAGGGATAACAGTAAGTCTCTAGTTTCATACTGTACAAGACCAATAGGTTTTATCAACATTTGGCGACCAAAATGTAAACATGATCAGTCTATTGTGCTGCCAACAGAGCTTGACTCTAGAACACACTTACCTGCATTAACATATAGTAGATTCCGGCCACACCATGAGCGGCTCCAACGTACTGCTTCCTATGCCACTGGAACAGCAGTGGGCAGCGTTCAGTTTTGCGTTCTTCCTTGGATAGATTTTTACCTGATTCGATGATAGCATTTACTACCTAAAGATGAGACGACATGAATCTCAAAAACTTGTAATGACTTTGTTCCAAATACCAATCTCTTTATTATTAATACAATCTAATCTAAGGTAATAATAGTTCTCTAGAATTATATAAATTCTTTATATGAAAATTTCCTGGTACTCAGCATACATTACTTCCCTTTGACAGATTAATAAACTGAGGCTCCAAGTCAACCAGAGACTTTCCCTGTAACGAAACCTAGGACACTATAAAAACATCAAAAGTCGCTTCTACAAATAGCTTTTGTGGTACTTAGAAGGAATTACTACCCAATAGCTTACTATTGGTCTTTCCTGTCTCCTCTATTGATTATCAGTCTGAAGTGGGTAGTGGTAAGAAATCCAATAATTCACACCACTTTGTTACTGTTCTTTTCTAGTTCCAACTTTACTTTTTCTTCATAGGAGGAAAATACCGAAGTCTAGAAAATAAACCTGTTCAGATAGACTGGAGAACCTGGCTCAGTTAGGTCAGAGAAAAGACAGCTAAGGGAAGGTCAATTATCGTTATCATTAGTGAGGATAAACAGAAACAACTAAGATAAATTACAGCATAAGGAATTTACGTTAGACACTAGGAAGAATGTTTTGAAAGGAAAGGTTGCTAATAGGTCAATGGAGGCAGTAGTTGATTTTAAAAGTTTATTCAGAAAGAAAAACGGGAGCTATTTCTCATGTGCCTGAGAATGTTCAGCACAGTACAAGGGGAAAGAGTACTGACTCTGGAGCAGCCAAAGGTCCTTGGTTCAAATCCCACCTTTAATGTTTACTTATTAAGTCATGTTGGGAAAGTCACTCAACCTCTCTGAGCCTCATTTTCCTTTTCTGTAGAATGAAAGAGTTAGAATAGATTGCCAGGAGGTTCCTTTCAGCTCTAGACCTATGATCCTGGTCACTGCCAGATTTTAAACAAAGAGAGGAGTATAACTCTTGCATAGCTATCAGGTTTGGCAGTTAGCTCCTATAATCAATACCTCTTTGACAGTTGTCTCAGACACCGTGTTTGGACCAATCTCTGTATTCAAGTACAGTAAGGCATATAGGTAACCTGCCCGTCCATAAAGGAGCTCATCTGGAAGGTCTGAGTCTGGACTTACAACTGTTTTCTGTAGCTGCAAAAGTCTAATAAAAAACAAAAAACAAAAAACAAAATAAAACCAAAATTAATTTCCTCAGAAGAGGCATGGAATACCCTTTATTAAAAAGAAGTTAATCCCCCATATTCACATATTCTTTGGAACCAGGTGAACGGGGTCATCCCTGATTCAACGCCCAGATTAAAAACCCTCCAAATCCTTCTCTATCCCCACTAATTCCTCTCCCTTAATAGATACCAGTTAGCAAGTCAGTATAGAGCCCTAACCCAGACAGCTTTCATTAAATGCCAGCTAAGGCATCTGAGAGAAAAATATTTAAGAAAGAGGCTTCGACTATGACTCAAAGTAACATGTTCATTCCCTAAAATATAAACCAACTCATGTCTCAGCTGTACAGATCGCTCCAATGGAATCTTGCCCATGGGAAGAGAGAACTTGGTTGTCCCATTATGATGCCTACAGTGCAGATTATAAAAGTTTTTCTGTTCCAGAAGTGGCACGTTGGCTTCCCTCTGTCTCATGTAAGACAAGCACAAAAGTAATTTTTCTGAGGTACTTTTCCACAGCAATGGCCCCAACTAGGAAATGAGAGATACTCTGGGCTGAAAACTCACTTTGTGATGCACTCTCTGGACTCGCTGTCACTCTTTAGCTTGTGGTACACCACAGCAGCTACGGCGAGGGGCCCCGCATCCCCACAGAGAAAAGTGACCCTCCGGCCGCTGAGATTACGAAGTGTTCTCTTCACATAATCCAGGGATCGCAGTAGGTAGGCCTGGTCCGAAGTGACTCGGTACATCTGCAGGTACAGAAGGGCTATGCCTAGAATAAGCCCCCACCCCCAAAAGAAAAGTGTTATTACATTTCCCTTCTGCCTCAGCCCCAGGGGCAGTATTTAGGATCCACTTTCAACATTCTTTGGCACAAACTCCTGCCACTGTATTAGGATAAGAAACAATTTCTGGAATTGATAGTTGTGAATAAAGAAGGCCAAGCTTCCGAAGTAGGAGGCGCAATGTACACAGATAAAAAGCTTTACCTTAGATTAGAGCAAGGATGCAACCACTCAGCAGATTTCTATTCCCTCTTTTCCACCTCCAGTCTGCTCTCTATCTATTTAAAAACCAAGAGCAGATGAACCTCCACTTAGCTGGCTTGGTGAAGAAAGGAGTAACTGGAATCCATGTCCCTCAAACCAGTGTGATGGGTCCATTGACTATAACTAATAAAACAATACTTAAAAGATCACTAAAAACAGCACTCAACATGAATGCTTCTTTTTTTATTTTTGTTTTGAATTTACTGAAAGTAGACAGAGTTAACTATGAGCAAACTAAAAAAACACAGCAGATATAATGCAAGGTTCTATTTAAAACAGCCTTAATTTAACTATGTGAAGTTGGTACAATATGATTGACAATGTAATTCTTAAAATAGGGTACAATTTTGGATAAGCAGTGAATCAAAAGCCAAATGTTCTTCAGACTAGCCAAATGGAATCTTTTAATGACAGACGCAGTTAGTAACACACTAAGGAGCAAGTATGCCTGGGCTGGAGAACATTAGAGGTAAACAAGGGCAGCTGGGGAAAGAGGCCTGTTGCTAGCTGGCCCTCCTATGATTCCTTCTTAGATATACTTTTGTTTTTCACATTTAAACTCACTTTAGCCAGGTTAGATTCATAACTGCATTGGGGATCAGTTTTCCTTACTGTGTGTATCTGTCTGACCTCCTGCATCTGTTTACTATTGTTGGCACTAAATAATTTTTATTGATGACAAAAAAATAAAATATAACTACTATAATCAGCACTTTATGGCTCACTGTTAACTTTAGGGGGCAAATGGACTAAGGAATGCCAGAATTGTTGAGTTAGAAGCGACCCAAGCCATTCTAACCTGTTCTGGAATAGGAATCCCTCTCCAATACACCTGACGAGTGATGCCTAGTCTTCCATGGCCACCTCCAGTGACAGGAAACCCACGGTTCCCTAAGATGGCCCAATTTCCCTTCTAATTATTAGGAAATAAGTCTGTCCTTATATCAAGCCTAAACTTGTGACTCTGAAACTTCCAAAAACTACCCTTTTTTAGGCCAAACAGAAAAAGTCCGAATTTCACTTCGATGTGTTGGTCCTTCAAATATTTTAAGCCGATTATCACAATTTCTGTACTGCTGGCTAATTGTTCCTAGTCCCTTCAAAAGATCCTCACTAGGATAGGTCCTCAGGGTTAGTATCTTCCTAACTCCCTTTGCCTTATTAAAGGCCTTCCTAAAAAGTGCCACCAAAGCAAACCCGCTGTTCTAAATGTGGTGTGGCCAGGGTAGTACAGAGGAGCTATCACCCAGCATTCTATATACATTGTGCTAATCTTCTTACAGACTAGGATCACATTAGCCTTTTTGGTCGCCATGTCACAATTAACTACAGTCCCCTAAAACTAGCAGACTTGCCTACCAATATCTCCCCCATCTTATATACGTTAAAGCTAATTTCTTAACCCAATTGTGGAGGAAGGCTTGCAGCTACAAATTTATGTCAGCTCATCTCAACTAGGTCCTCACTGCAATAGAGCAAGCATTTCACTCCTTCCTTCTTGATCCTCTAGAAACTTCTCTTAGTGGCTCTTCCAAACCCTTTTTTCACTCCTCCAGATTCCCTCCCTCTTCCTGCCTACTCTCAGCAGACAGCACCCTCACTTCATAACTCATAGAGAAAAGAGGGTATCAACTCTGAGCTCCTTCTCCACTGCTCTGTATCTCAAAACCCCTTGTCATTAGCTCCCATTCTCTATTCTTTAACTCTCCCCTCTAATGAAGATATGGGCCCTATCCTCACCAAGGCCAACCCCTCTAATTGGATCTTTGATCCTATCTTCTTCCTATCTTCACCAGCAGGTGGTTCCCTTAATTATCCTCTCCTCTTAAATCTTTCCCTCTCTACTAATTCGTTTCTTACTTCCTACAAATTTCCAGATCTCCCCAAGCTTTCAGTACACACCCCCGTCCCCATTTGACTCTACCAATCTTTCAAGCTATCATCCCATACCAAGCCTCCCTTTGACACTCTTTGTCTTCACTTCCTCTCCTCTCACTCACTTCTCAACTCCTAGTAATCTGGCTTCTGACCACCCCACTCAACTGAAACTTCCCTCCCTTAAGGGCCAAATACAATGGCCTTTTCTCAACTCTCATCCTTCTTGACAACTCTCCAGCACTGAACAATGTTGACATCTGTCTTTTCCTGGTTACTCTCTTCTCTCTGGCTTTTCTGACACTGCTCCATCTTGGTTCAATTTTGATCTTTCTGTCTGCTCCTCTTCAGTCTCCTTTGTTGGACTTTCATTCAAGGACTACCCTCTAAGCTGTGAACATACTGCACAGCTCTGTCTTAGGCCCTCTTCTTTTCTCTCTTTAAACTCTTTTCTTGATATCTTCAGTTACTTTGGTTAAGTTACCATATCTATACAGATGACTCCCCCATCTATACACCAAGCTGCTGAGCTCCATTCCTTGCATTACTGACTGCTTGTTGGGCATTTCATATTTGGTGTACTATAGATGTATCAAACTCGACATGATGAAAATATAACTCACTATCTTTCCCCAAGAACCCCTCAGTGGGGGGAATGACCACTCTTCCAGCTACCCAAGTTCCAAGCCTCAGGAGTCATCCTTGGCTCCTTTCTCCCTGCCACCTTACATATTCAATCAATTGTCAAACCTTGCCCATTTTATCTCTGCACCATTCCTAGCATCCTTCCCCTTCTACCATTCTCAGGGTACTACTTTAGTTCAGGCCCTCATAAAGTCACATCTAGAATATTACAGCAGTCTCCTAATTGGTTTCCACAACTCTCCTCCACACAGCATCCTCCCACACAGATGCCAATGCCCTTCCTAAAGGGTAAATTTGATCATGTCACTCTGTTGCTTAGTAAACGCTAATGGCTTCCTATTACTTTTAGAATTAAATAAAAAATACTCTGTTTGGCAATTAAAGCTCTTTACCACCTGGCCCCTAAGTTACCTTTCCAGCCTGAACTGTCTTAGTCCCCTCCCCACACTCTCTAATTCGGCCAAACTGGCTTTTTTGCTGCTCCTCACACATGAAACTACAACCTGATTAAGCCTGTGCACCGGCTGCCCCTGCACCTGCAATGGTCTCTCTCCTCACCTTCACCTCTCAGGATCTTGTTTCCTCCCAAGCCCAGCTCAAACACCATCTCTTGCAGGAAGCCTTTCCTGGGCTCTCCTGCCCTCTCCCCCCACTCAGAGGCTGGGGCTTCCTCTCTGAGTTATTACATGTTTATTTTTATAAACTTCCATGCATACACATTGTCTCAGCCACTGGAAAGCAAAGCTCCTTAAGGACAGGGACTGTTTCATTTCTGTCTCTCTGCAGCAACCAGGCACAATACCTGACAAAGAATAGTTACAGAATAAACGTTTGATTTATCTGAGTAGATGTAGTCCAAGGAGATATTTCTGAATGCTGACTCTTTTGACAAATGTGTCAATTATCCCTTCCAGTTTGTGTCAACTGCAAATTTTAAAACCAAAATATTTCCCATTATCCTTTAACTGCCAGAAACATTAGAGCTAAACATATTGTTAATATGTTGAAAACATTGATTTCTTCTTTATTTAGATGGTCTCTGTTCTATCCTTAAATATAACAGAATCTAAGAACCTTAATGTTGGAAGGTGTTTACAAGGTTTTCCCATTGGATTCTAATCTTTAAGTCAATCAAAGCTTTTGTCCTTGGCATAACATTTGCTGGTTTTATATATTAAATTCAGTCTACAGGTTTATAATCTTCTTAAAGGGCTAAAAGGTTTTGATTATGTTATAGTGATCAGCAATTCTGACAGTAGAAAGCCATCCACTGCTAACTCCCTAAGACATGGGGTAGTTCTTGCCAATATCTATGGCTATTTCTCAAATTCTCCCTTATTGTCATCAACTAGGCTTGAGTTTTCGGAGAACAAAGACCTTATTCTGATCTCCTTTGTTCCATCATTGCACTGACTGAATTACTACTTATACATGAAATAGGTATTTACATGCTGAATTAGTGGAATATTAGAATCTAGAAAAGGACAAATCTTAATCTAATCCATTTACAGATTTCAGGAGATTTGTTAGTTTAGAGAGACAAAAACATTTTTTTCACTAACCTTTAACTGAAATATAATCTTTATGTCAATTACTAATTTTTAAAAGATATTCGAAGAAGGGCTCCATAGTCTTCCCTACACTGCTAAAGGTTAAGAATCCCTGCTCCAAAGAATTCTTCTTGCTATCCAACAGTTAATGTTGGCTACTTTCATCTATTAATGAACAGATTCAAATTTCCTGTTTTCAAAAGATGGGCTCAGTATTTCACTCACTTCTAAACTAGTGTAGATGGAGAGTAGCTGATTGCTTAATCGCCAAAAAATCTACTCAACCATAATGAGCCACAAAGGCATTGGGGTAGGGGCAGGCAAGTTAAGACAGTTATTATTGTTTTTAACTTACATTCATAGTTACAAAGTGATCTCACAGACATTATCTCATTTGATACTCATAAAAATTCTGTGGAGGAAATAGTAGTATAAGTATTATTATCCCCATTTGGTAGATGAAAAAATTGAGGCACACAGCAATAAAGAGGTTTGTACAAGGTACAGACAGAGGTAGTAAATGATAGCCAGAACCCCAATTCTGGTCTCATTCTGCCTTAAAGATCAGAGAGTATACTACTGCTACTATGGCATGCTTATGATAAAACAGCATGGGCAGTTAGTTGCAGAGCTAAAAGTCAGCTCAAACAAGATTTTTTTTAATGAACAAAGTTCAAATGTTGATTACCTAGTCAAAAATCCTTAGGGCACAAAAGACCTTTGTAAAGCACTTGATCAACAAAGGATCAGTTCAAAGTAATAACTTATATTTCTTTAACACCTTAAGGTATAAAAAGTGCTTATGTCAAACTCTTATTTACAAATAAATAATTAATTATTTTAAAAGGAGAGAGACTCAAAATCTAGCAAAAGGAATAAAATAAAAGAGATCCCCAAATGCTATGCTCTAGGCTTACCTGTCCAGCCAGTGTACGCAGAGCAGTCATGAGGATCGGCGGTCTTCAGACCTTCCTCCATCTGCTGCAGGAGGTCCTTGATTTTGGTCTGGATCCTCTTTGTAAAACTGGAGTTGATCTGAAAACCCAAGCAAAGAGGGAGGAGAGAGTCATGCAGCAAGAAATTTTTAAAACTAATTTTTTTTTCTAAAAAGAACATAGAAGCTATTCATTCTAGATCACCAATAAAAACGACTGTATTTTTTTTCTCTGCTAGCTTTTAGTCAAACTTGTGTTCATGAAGTACTTTCCAAAGTACAAAAGCACTGCCCTGGAGTCAGAAAACCTGGGTTCTAAGGCTTAGATTGGCTTTACCAGCCATGGGACTGCTAGCCAGTCTTTTACTGTTTCTGAATGAGTTTCGTAGATTCACTGATTATTGGTGCTGGAAGGAACCTTAGAAATCATGTAGTACAACCTTCTGAATTTAGAAACAAGGCCCAGAGATACAGGATTAATTTTCCAGTCACAAAATTGGTGGGTTAGGAACAGAGCTGAGACTTGACAAGTCTTCTGACTCCTTGCCTGAAGCTTTTCCCCATAGAGTTTGCTCATCTATTAAATTGAAAATGAAACCTTGCAATGCCTCCTCACAGAACTGATAGCTAACTAGCTAGCTAATTTATTAAGTGCTTCCTTTGTGCCAGGCACCCTGCTGGAAACAAAGAGAAGCAGGCAAGACAGGACTGGCCCTCAATGAGCTTTCAGTCTAATGAGGGGAGCTAGAAAGAGGGAGGTTAGACAAATGGGGGGGGACGGCATGGAAGAGGCTCAAAAATAGTCTGCAGGCCTCATTCTGGGAAAAATGAGGCAAAGCAAGGTTCACCTATCAAAGTCCTCTGTGCCAGAGGAGTAGTCCAAGGAACTGTAGTGAAGGCTGGGAAATGTAAAATCTTATCTGAGTTTCATAACAATCCTGTGAGGTAGGTAATTTTGCTAGGAAAACATTAGGATCTCTCTATGCACTAACATTAAATGAATAAAGTGTCCCTCAGTCCACCAGCCCTTTGACCAGCTCTTCTCTAGAGAAGGGAAGCTTGTCATGCCTGCCCCTCCCACCAACAGGGTAGCTGGGAACCAGCAAGGCAATCTGAGGGAAGAATGGGGGCCCTGTGTGCTGGGCATGTCAAATCACCACCACTTCCCTTTGAACCCCAGTGGACACAAGCCCAGGATTTTGTGCTCAAGAGTCCTGGGAACAACAATAACCTCTAGAACACTGGCCCTGCTTCTGGTCTGTCCTCATGGACATCAATCTTTGTGGAGAAAGGGCCTGCCATGTCAGTTACCACCAACACCAACTAGCAACCAGTTTCTATCAACGGCAAGCAAGCTTAAGAGCTCCAGGAGCAGCATAGCCTCCCACCCAACACCCCACGACTAGCCCAGGTTCTAGCCCAGCACGAAAGTCAACAGCCAGGTGAGCAAGCCTTGGGGTAAGGCCCTTCCTTCTCAACAGGAACTGCTACCAGAGACACACAGAAAAGAAAGTTTCCTCAGGAACATCAAAGAGTTTCAAGGATGTGGTTTTATCCTTGGAAATGACACTAATAATAATAGTAGCTAACATTATTAAGTGCCCACTATGTGCCAGGGACTAATTTAAACACTTTATAAATATTATCTTGTTTGATCCTCATAACAACCCTGGGAGGTTAGATGCCATTATTAGCCCCATTTTACAGATGAGGAAACTAAGGCAAACTGAAATTAAGTAACTTACCCAGGGTCAAATTGCTTCTAAGTATCTGAGGTCAAATTTGAATTCAGCTCTTCCTGATTCTAGGCCTGGCATTCTATCCACTGTACGGCCTAGTGGCATTACCCTTTGCTTTGCCTCTGTACCCCATCTTCCCTGAAGCCAAACCCTACTATATGTGTTTTCTTCCTCTATCAGAAAGTGAGCACTTTGAAAGCAAGGACTATTGTGTGTTTAAATTTGTGTCCCCAGCACTCAGCACAGTGCTTGGAACATAATAAGTGTTGAATCAATGTTTTTCATTAATTAATTCAAATCCTACAACAATTTTGCAGTCGCACAATTCTTTTCACTCTCTATTCCACCCCCACCCCAACCTCCTTCCCACTAGCTTTAAGGCCTAACTAGGACGCAAACGTTTTTAAGGCTACCTTTGGTTTGCTTTAAACTATGCCCCAGGTAGCACCCAACAGCCCCCTGCTGAAACCATGGGGGCAGATTCCTAACCAAGTCAGCGTTCTGAACAATCTATTCTGTTATTTGCCCAAGAGGACAGTGAGCAGGCCGTGGGCATCTACATTCCAACCTGTGCCTTAGACAACTCTCCTTCTCTGAAAGGGCTCCAAACAAAAAGATAGCACCCTCCCAATCCCAAATCCACAAACATGTACACTTGATTCTAATGATGCTACAGAGCAAAAATGTTATTAAAAGGTATAAAGTTGCCCAGAAATGTACTGACCTAAACATTTGGGGACAAATTGCCCTTTCAAAAAACATTTTTGAAAATCTCTTCCTCACCACTATCCTCCTCCTCTTTTCTTCCTATCAAGCTTTTATTTTTACTTATTTACATTTTACCATATACATTTGCAAAAGGATTTATAACCTTTATTTAATCACAACAAGAAAAAAAAAAGTCCAGAAACCACAAGGCAATGGGAAGAACAGGCATATTTACAAGATGCCTAGTGGCCCTGGTTCTGAGACTTATTTATAGTGATTGCACGCTGCTGGAAGGAAAATGCTTCTGTTCTACAAGCCAGGCAATTTGTACAAACAAGGAGGCCCCCATGTGTTATAAAGCAAGCATATATTAGTATGAACACTAATCGCTTGTGGTTAAACTCCTCACAGTGCTCCAGTCTGTTAGAATTGCATCTATTATTCCAAATGGTATATAATAGATGTTTATAGGAAGATTTCATTTTTGTATTCACATTATTTCTCATGGTAACAGATATTATTAGCATCGTGACAGGGTTTTTTTCCCCCTCCCTCCTGGCAATTAGAAGATTTCCAAGTAATAAGCCATTCATGTTTTCAGAACTGCCTTTAGTCAATTCAGTTCAATCCATTTCCTCCCTGGCCACCATATTGCTTTTACATAATGTTTTAGGAGAAATCTAAGGCAGAGGTAAGTCTTACCATTTTTTATTAACTCAAATGGAAAAACCTAATACTCATAGCACTCCTCATCCCCCACAGCTTTCAATCGCTAACAACGAGGTGTAAACTCATACTCAGTACTAACAAAAGCCCAAAGAATTTTAGGGAGGAGTCTTATCCCACAGAAAAAAAAAAAAAGACAACAAAAAACCCCAAGTAGATTTGTATAGTTTTGCATCTTTTAGGGCAAGAACATTTTTTGTTGTTGTTATTGTTGAGTCTTTCATGCTAATTCTCTATGACCCCATGGACCATACAATCCATGGGATTTTTTTTGGCAAAGATACTGGAGTGGTATGCCATTTCCTTCCCCAAACAGAAGATGAGTGTCTTACCCAGGGCCACACAGCTGGTGAGTGTCTGAGGCCAGATTTCAACTCAGATCTTCCTGACTTCAGGGCCAGAGCTCTTATCCACTGAGCCATATATCTACCTCATGCTGCAGTGTCCAAATAATTAGCAAGACCTGCATCTTTTAGTGTAAAGTTCTACAAAGCAAGGTGCCTAACAATTATTACTTTACAATGACCTACTTAGTGCAAGGTCCTCTTCCCTGAAATTCAGATATTGATGAAACCATGTAATTAAACTAAAAGTGTCTATAAAATTGCCAACGCTTCCATGATTGTCACTAACACACTCTTTGCTGGTTCCAAACAAGGCACTGCAAATCCCACTCCAGTGTGTTTCTCATTTTTGTAATGTTCTTCCTTCACATGCATCAGCAAAAGTGCCCCTTCCTGAAGCATTTCCTGAGCACCGTTAGCACTTCCCCTTGAGTTGTTTGATTTTTGCGTGCGTGTGTCTGTGTGTCTGTGTGTGTGTATGTGCATGAACACGTCAGGAATGTGTTCTCCTGGCAAAGATAAGCAAATGACTTTCAGCCCCGCCCCTCCCGTGCCAATGGATGAAAGCCAGCCGTGCTAGGAAGCTTAGCGCTGTCCCTGCTGTAGATCTCTTCTTACAGCACAGCCTGTTGGGTTAGTGCCTACGGTGCATAGCCCCGATGGCGGCTTTGAAGTATGGCGATGGCACCTGGTTTCCAGAAGTGCAGCGACACTGATGGTCAGAAACCTTAAGATCAGCTTTCAAGTACCAACTGTTTCAAAAGTGAATCCAAAAAGTGATCAACTTTTAAGTGCAAATGAGATGGTCCTTTGGGGTGTGCAGTGAATTTACACTCATGCCACACAAAGATGGATCCAAATGCAATTTTCTATCTATTCAAATCAGATTAGTAATATTCTAATTTCATAAAGTCAAATTATACACCATCAATTGACCTATCAACAGATAGATCTGTGAAAGCAGCTAGTTTTATTATGTGGGATGTGCTGTACCAGATACAGTAAATATAGATATGCTAATTCATCCTTCTCATGAAAGTATTTTAATGAAGCTTTCTTTTTAAACCAGGACAAAGTATAGACAATTAAAAAGCTCTGCTCTTCAGCTCATCTAGACAGTAGGGTTTATGATGGCTTTTGCACAGTAAAGATTCCAGCCTAGTCACGTGCCAGCTACTCTCCAGACTGACCCAGGCCTAGTTCCCACCCACACCTGTAAATGGCTGCCTCTTTTTTAAGCCAGAGGTAATTTGCTCCAGGTTCCACAGTACTCAGCACCAGTGGCCTTTCTGGCATTCCCAGCCTAATGTAATTAATTGGCTCCATGAAAACACTGTGTTAAAATGGAATGTAATGAAGGGGCAATTAACTTCTAAATGAGTGATTGGCTGGATGACTTCATAGCAGGGTTTTGCAGCAGTATAAGTATGGTTTGGTTCTGATGTGATATACAATTACTACCAAACTTTGCTGGTCATGGCAATAGTCACTGACTCTTTTTTAGCACTAAAGCCAGAGCTTTACATGAAAATATTTCATCTGAACCCCACACAACCATCTTATGAAGTCAGTTTTACAAGCATT